TATCTCTCAGAGGGGCGTGGGGAGGGGGTCCTTATTTTCATCTAAAGTAGACAGAGAATCAGCACTTTGGAAACAGGGCTGAAACAGAGGGGATTATGGGATGCTACAATGATCTGTTTGGTATTTAGAGCAAAACACTTCAGAGACATCTTTTGTATATATCTGACATCTGTAATATATTGATGGAAAACAGTATAATAGGGGACCTTTAAATTCCGTAGCAAACTTAACTATTTCAAGCCAAGCCGAGAAACGAGTGCCTTTTTTTGTTTCAATAAACATTTCATAATGTGCAACTCTAATCCAGGAGAAAATCAGTTTCCCTTGAAACATAATTGAGAATGTAGTTTGGTTGTATGCAAACATAACCTTATTGTTTACAGGGTTGGTTGAAGGTGGAAGTATCTGTATCTGTTCTGGCATAATTAAATCTGAAAAACGAGGGCAAGAGCTTCTAGGAATATATTATGACTCAATATTATAAGTAATGTAAAACAATAAATATGTACTGTAATGTAAAAGGAAACTGTACTCACCTTGAAGAACTTTCCCAAAGCAATGTAGTCCAGTCCGTCGGAGCAGTTGAAGACCACACATTGCTTAGCCACAGCTTTGGCCAAATCTTTGGTCGTCTCTGTTTTTCCTGTGCCAGCCGGGCCCTCGGGGGCCCCTCCCAAATGGAGACTTAGGGCCCCAAACAAAGTGCTGTGGTAGGGGGAACAGACAGGAGAAAGCTTGTAAAACACCTTAAGCGCTTTCAGTGATAAATGAAACAAGATATTCCTCATCAAATGATAATGTGTATTTTTTTGTATCCATAGACACGTCAAAATAACTTGCTGACAAACCACTTGGTAAATGTTAATGTTACTTCAGACTACCAAAATCAAATGTTTCTATGTAATGTCATTGTTTGCGCTTAATACAGTTACATTTATGGATGAACTGATGATTATGTAAAGGATTTGGAAACTTATGCCATTTGACATAATGTTTGTTGCCATTTGACATAATTTTTTTTTTTGAAAAAAAACATTTTAAACAACTAAATTGTAATATTAATCTAAAGTGCAATTTCCTAATAATTTTTGGAGACTGTGTCAGCCAAGTTCTAGCAGTGATCTTTAAAAAAAATGCAAACTGCCCTAGAGGCTAGCTGAAGAACATTTTGCACAAAGAAACATGTTTGATCAATTTAAATGAACTCCCAGAAGCTCAGCAAGAAAAACTAAATATTGTCACTGAAACTGATAAGAAATGGACAAGAAAATGAATTTAGAATCCAAATAGGGCTAAGAAGAGACAGAATGACAAGTGTTTGATTTATAATGTAGGGATATCCGGCATGTAAGTATTTCCAACCTGGGGTTTGTAGAGTCATCAGACAGTGTTTGATCTGCAAACACCTACGCGTTATAAAAAAAAAGGAAGCCAGTGATCTGTTGATGGGAAGTTTCTTTACCGGTAGCAGCGGTCAGTAAGGGGGGTGATGACCAGGCGTGGAGTGTTCCCCAGGTATTCATAACCATAAGGCAAACCGGCATTGATCATCTTAGTCTGAAGTTGGTTCTCCTGCAAGGGGTGTGACACAGAGTTTACAAGGAGTAATACAGTAGTATGTATTATTAGTTTTAATAGAGTGGTGCAAGAATGAGTCATACTTTTAGAAATGAGTTAGCAATTTAGCAAGTCATTGGTTTTTGGAATTAGTTTTTGGTTAGATGCCTGAAGTAAGGTCTGTGGTTGACACAAGCTTACAATATTTTGTTCTGCGAGATAAAATATGTCAGTAAAATACCCACCCTGAAAGGTTTAGGTGTCTTAAAACTGCAGTGGGTAACTACTTAAAGGAGCCCTATTGTGCTCATTTTCAGGTTCATATTTGAATTATGTTCCTCTACTGCGACATGTTTCCATGCTTTAATGTACAAAAAGGTCTTCATTTCTCTCATACTGCCTGTGCTGCAGCACCTCTTTTCACCGACTGTCTGAAACCAGAGCCCAGTCTGCTCTGATTGGTTGGCTAGCCGGCTCTGTTGTGATTGGGCAACCTTTTAGAGAAGTCCCGACCCTCAGCCTATCAAGTACAATGTTTTGGAGCACTATTACATTACATTGCATTTAGCTGACGCTTTTATCCAAAGCGACTTACAATAAGTACATTCGACCAGGAAGATACAACCTTGAAGAAAACAGAATCATATAAGTACATCAGGTTTCATAGAGCCAAACATTTCAAGTGCTACTCAACTGGCTTTAGATAAGCCAGTCCTTTATTAGTATATACTGTAAGTGCTCTGTTAGCACTAGCCAATAGAAGCGCGAGTGTTACAGTGATGTCAATATGTTACGGAACTTTGATGTAGTTTCCTACAGCCTAAAGTTTGCGTTTGACTTGTGACGATTGCATTTGCGCTTGAACTATTATAAAGTGATGTTAACATGTAAGTATGATAAGTGTGTGTTTGCCACAGACCTTGTTTCTGCTATATTCCCAAATACAAAAAGCCGAGGGAATCCTAGAAATGTAAACTTCCAGGTGGGCCTACGACAAAACGTCATCCCTGCACCACTCTTTAATGATTCCTCCTTTACATACCACCCAATAGTAGCGCAGTTGGCTAAGCCACTCAAAGTCATTCTCGTCTTTTATTCCCTTTTTCACAAGTGTAGCGAGCACATCCCGGCCGTGCACGTCCAGCACGACGAGGGCTCCGAGGGTCACCCGGTTCTGCTTGGATAGCTTTCCGCGAACGAGTGAGACGATGTCGTCAATCTGTTTGTTGTTCTGCTCCAGGTAGGCATCTAAGGCCTGAGGAGGGGGGGGAGAGGCGTGATTAAATGGAAGGCAGAGCATGATGGAGAGGAAGCTATCAAGACTCCATCTATAAACTGAAGGTCACGAGTTTGATCCACTGCTATGTCTATCACTGTCAAGATGTTCATGAGGACAACACCACCCTTTTCCTTCTTTTGTAAGTGCATTGCTGGCAGGGTATAATCTTGTGTCTTGGAGGATATCATAAGACAAAGATATCCTGTTACAACTGTATAATACAGCCGCTCACTGCAGACCTCTGCTGGTTACGTTTACTAAATAAGACGTGGCAGCTGATGAGACACAGGCGCTCTTATTTGATCCAACATTTTTAAAAGAGTTTGAAATCCTCATTCAGATCACCTGTTTCAATATCTATCTCAGTCTGCATGTTTAACGTTGAGCCACAAGGTTATAATTACCGTAAATAAGACATTTATTGAAAGGTCATTTCTCATGTATCACTTTGTTGACTTCATCTTGAGAACAAGTGATGGGTCAAATACTGTAAGTGCTTTCACTCAAATACTGTATTTGAGTGCAGTTTTGAGGAACTTGAGGGTTTCCTCTCAATGATATGATATTTCTACACCACAGAGGGAAATATTCTTCTTTTAATTCCACTCCGCAAGTCTTTACGTTAGTACCTTTAGAGATTTAGATTCTTATACAAAATACTAATCAATTGATACATGATTTAATACATATTAAACTAGCCAGAAATATGTAGACGTGATGCAAATGTGCTCCACCTTTACCAGTTGCAATATTAAATGAATAATGCATCAATAATTATAATGCAGTAAGTAAGAAATATTATATTTCTGAAATTGATCCTGCATAATGAATAATGTTTTTTTTGGTAATACCTGTGTGCTTTTATTTGAGTTACAACATGAATGCATGCTTTATACATTTCTACTGTGTAGTATCTTCCACACTGTAAATGTTTTGTTTAGGCAGTTTCTCGTGCTCTGACATACTTTACAGTATGTAGCCATGGTTACAACAACTTTGATACAGACATGTGACTTCCAAGCATTCGGTAGATTATGCCTTTCAGATACTACAGTAGTGGTTGCCTTGGTTACACCTTTGATCCAGGCATCATGGAACTTCAGAGCATTGTAAATGTAGGGAAACATGCTGCTCTGCTTCCTTTCTAACAGAGTTAAGCATGTGGGATAGATCTGTCTGTTAAACAAAATGTGTTTCCGTTGGACGATAACAACTTTTTTTCTCATGATAGGAACGACTCTAAATTACATTTTTTAATAGTACAGGTCAAGGACGGGCACTTTTTCAATCCAGATAGTTACAATAGTCTTTCCGTTCTTTCGGTATTGCGTCAAAAACAGCATTAACAGTTAGAATGAAAGATCTTAGGCATTGTATCTTAAGTACCACACAATGGAAAAGAAAAGTTGATCACCTTTGGTCCTGAATGAATGGCTAAATTAATATCCTTGGTCCAGTAGACCTGTGAGACGCAGAGCACGGTCTGGCCCGGCCACGCACGCACCCAGTTGATCCTCAAATCTTTGGGGTACGCCTCGATAGCCTCCCCAACTACCTACAACGACCACAAGAGGGACAGAGGCTTTCACTAGATTTGAGGGATTATGTGGGGAGAAGTCTTGGAAGCAGAGACTCAAGCTCCTTCCAAATTAGTATCTCGCCTGCATGAATTTAGTTTCTCAATAAATCTTAGGCCGTCAAGAAGAATCAAGAAAATTGCATCACAGAATATATGTCATGGTTCTGAAAATAGGCCAATCAGTATTAGCTAAATAGCATCCCAACATTGATGCATCATAATGTTATTTTAACTGACTGACTGAACAGCTGACTAAATGCTGTGATGGCTTATTCCCTTCACTTTTGGATCTTTATTTGGAGCAAATTGTATGAAGGAAATGTATATTTGATAGAAAAATAACTAAAATCTAATATTTTTTTGATTAAATACAATATATATATAAATAAACTATATATGTCTGGCCCTTGATGTGTTTTTTTTGTGTGGCAGTTTGACACAGCAGCTCTTGTGAATATAAATCTCATTTGAATACCACCATATGTTTTTGTATTTAAGTTAAGCGGACACCAAAAATGACAAACACACCTTGTGCAGGGAGGCCATCATGCCATTCTCCAGTTCCAGGAGCCACTTCTCCACCTGGCCCCTGGTTTTGGAGGTGGAGATGACGTCCAGCAGCTCTACCGTTTCCCCCTCACTGCTCTTCATGTGGGTGATGTCCAGCGCTTTGGTGAACACCACGCTAGCAATACCTTCAAAGCACTTCTTCAGATGAGGCTGCACTCTGGAGGAGAGGAAGGCAAGAACATCTAATTACTTCCATATTGTGTTATATCCAAGTTATATTTTACAGTGGCCCTCGGCATTTAGAGATTGTATGCACTTTCACATTTCACAATTACGACGCCATATTAGGACCACTGAAGGTAAAATACAGGGCAGGGGAGAGGTAACATTTTGTGATTTTACCAGATTAAGCTTGTAAATTTGTCATATTATTGGAGCATTTCCTTTTCTGTTTCTAATATATTTATGAGTTTTTTCTCCGAAATCTAAAATATTATTCTCAGCGATATCCATGATTGTTTCTTCCAAATGTAACAACTTTAATCTTGTATTTCTTTAGTTGTTCCCTATATTAGCTCTCTAACCTGGCTCTGTAACTCTGTAATGTTTTTTATCTGTGACACACACAATGGAAACACTGATCTTCTCAATTTAAACGAATGCAGCTTTTTTCTCCGGCCGCATAATTGCCCAAGCTTTATTCACTTCATATTGCTATAGGCAACCCCTAGAGTGAAGATGGTTTATTAGCCTACGTTTAAACTCAGTGTGCACGCAGTCTTTTGGCAGATAATGACTGTAACATTTAGAACACGAAAGACTAATGATGCACCAAGTCTGAACACCCTCCTGTGAAATTGAAAAAATGAAAGACTGCTGACATGAAGCAAGAGAAGAACTGTGTGTAGAAGAAACCGTTATCCCTGTCTCCCTTTTTTTTTAAATTAATTGTTATAAGACAATTGCTTTTTAGTGTTGCTGCTGCTCCACCTGAACACCAGCTGCTGAAAGGTCAAACTAAGCCATGCTTAATGAGATAACTAGAGCAAGTGCAAATTCATGCTCATATGTTGATGATTGCCCTCGCTGTATTTCATCCCTAAATAGCACAAAACAGTGGTAAAAGAAAAGAAAGAGGCTCGCAAGTGGACCTTGAGTCAAGCTACTGTTTTAAAGGTCACTAATTAATTTGAACAGTTATTTTTAGTGTTGAGTTATTCTTTAAAAGGTCATGGAAGCACTTGGGGGGGTTGCCCACTCTCATTTTTCTCTCACACTTCCTAGAACATTTAAGGAATACATTTATTAGAATATGTCGGGGGAACTGTGATACCATGCAGCTGCGCCCCAAAAAACTTCTGCCAGACTTTTATTGTTCTTTACTTTCACAGCATGTCCTGCGACTTTTGTCGCTGCACAAAACTATTCTTGTCTTTAGAATCAAGATTGACAGGTTTTATTGTCATATGTATGGTGGCAAACAAAGGAAAATCCGTAACAACATCCCAAAACACGTGGATAAGGAGAAACGCACTGCAGTTTCAAAAACGGTGCAAATATAAAAACACAAATGGGCCAAAACAAATGCAAATTACAAAAAATCTTAACCAACTTGAATACACATGCGCAGAATGAAAGTCTGCGAGAGTGACAGTTGGCCAACTTTATAATCCCTGAACGTGAATAAATGCACCAGTTCCGACTGTGTGCAACACTTTTTATTGTCCCCCTTTCCATTCTGTTTTGTGCTTCTTGCAGCGTTTTCTTTTTTTAGCGTTTTGTGTTTGCAGTGTTTTGTTTACGCAGCACTTTTAGTAAATGCTGCACATGTTTCTACATTTGCATGCGTTTTAGCACATTTGTGTTTTCTTATTTTTATCAATTTTGAAAGTGTAGTGTTTTGGCCGTTGTAATGTGTTTGCCCCTCTCGGCCACCTTATTTATGCATAAAATCGACAGTGTAGTTATTGGCAATGAAAATCTTAAGTCCCAGGCCCCGAAAGAGGGCAACATATGATATATTTAAGACATAAAGAAATAAGGAAATAAAATAGTGATACAATGGTGCAAGTAAATGCAGGAATAAGTAAACATGTCCAAAGTAATATAACTGCACCTTCTTATTAGAATAGTCCTTCTTATTGTTACTAACTAATCTTGAATGTCACACAGTAAACAAAGTCTTTTTTAAACTTGCTTCATATCTATATGTTTCTCTTTCTTGTTCTCGCTGTGGGCGAAAACGTTCTGGAAAAATTGAAACAATTATTTAAAAGCTCAAGCAATAATACTTTGGCCTTTGGCACCTTCTATCCCTGAAATACCATTGACCATTAACTCAAATTTGCAAGAAATTATAACTTGAACTTTCCCAACAATACACTTCCAACGCCCCCACAGCGGCATTCAAATCCCCTCTCTGCAGAGGAGGTCACAACTGTGTGCATCTGTAATGATGTGATGACAATTCCCAGATGTGAGAATAAAGGGAAAGTAGAGTTCAAATGAAAAGAGAAAAGAAGATAGTAAAAAGGAAGATGATATTTTGTCAGGAATCAAATATATTATTAACCAAATGCCCTTGGTCAAAAAGACAAGGGTGGGTTATCAGCAGGACTTTGGGGGCTGAGTATGAGTTGTAGTTAGCTGAATATTGTAAGCCCCAACATCAATCTCCGTAATACTTTTTTAGGTAATGTCAAATGCTGAATATCTAATTTGAGTCTTTTTTGTGTGCCACTAATGCTCTAATATTGTTAATGTTGTGTGCTAGTTTTAGCCATTTACCTTGTGGGGTCTTTGGTCTCTGAGAGGATTTCCAGCAGCTCCTCATTAGACAGGAAGAAGAACCGTGGAAAATAGAGACGCTTCTTCTCCAGGTAGCTGTTGAGGCCTTTCAGGATCATATCCAGAAGCTCGTTGGACTTTTTGAGCTTCTCTAGCATCTTGTCGATGGCGATTACTGCCAAGACATGCATGTCCTAACACAGAGAAGTGAGAATAGAGTACATTTTACATTTTGGTTTAAGTTATTTTAATTCATTTCAAAATAGTACGTTGTTTTTGTGGTCAACTACCAACATCATCACAACTCGTGGTTAGGATCAGCATCAGGAATTAAGCAGGACAAAGCGAAAATCTCAGAATGCTCCTAAGGTGCAAAAATACCACAAAGGTTTCATTAGTAAATTAATTAATTAATAATACATTCATAATAAAAAGGTATATTATAAAGAAAATACATGAAGAAAAAAGAAAAAAAAGGGGAAAAAAAGCAACTTTGGAAGTGCCATCCAATTGTTGCAAACCTTTTTTGCATTTTCCACAATTAATTCAACTTCGTATTTTTTTCTTTTATATATGTATCTGTTCTATTTCCTTGCTTTTTATTGATACTTACTTTACTTTGTAAAGCACTTTGTTGTTTGTAAAAAGCGCCTTATGAATAAATCAAGTTCAATTGAGCTTTCTCTAATGGGTCACTGAAGCCTGGATGTGAAAAAGCAGCAATTTTCTCGCATTATCTCCTCTGACAGGTACATCTCGACTTTTGCACCAGGAGTAGCACCCTCTCTGCAAAGTGGCCGACGTGATGCATAAAAGCATTTGACCTTTTGGATCTACAAGCTTTGCCTTGAAATGAAATACTAAAACACTGCAATATCTTTCTTTAGCTAACAGGCTCCATGCTCCACAGTGAGGCCCCCTTGAAACAAAGCACTCTTCAAAAATCTATGAAGAAACAGTAATACATATTTTACCTGAGGCATGTCTCACAACTCAAAAATATTTCAGCTATGATATAATTGTATCTTTACTAAAACTCAATATTCTTTGGCACCAACCGGAAGAATCTAAATATAAAGCCTAATCTACAAGGTCAGACAGTGAATGGCAGAACCTACTCAAAAGGAACATTTTAGAATTAAAGCGCATATAATCTTCTCAATGTAATAAAATAAAATGCAGAAATGAGCAAAATTCTGAGCTAGTGTAGCCCAACTTAATGCAATAATACAAAAATGATTTACATAACCACTCATTTAAATAATCATGGTGTGTTTTTTAAGACATTCCGTACCAAATAAGGAGTCTGTAGAATTTCGATAACATTTTGACATATTGTGCTCATTTTCAGGTTCATATCAGTATGTAGTGTCTCTACTGTGACATGTCTCCATGCTTTAATGTTCAGAAAGCTCTTTATTTTTCTCATACTGCCTGTGCTGCAGCACCTCTTTTCACCCTCTGTCTGAAACCAGAGCCCAGTCTGCTCTGATTGGTTAGCAGGCCGGCTCTGTTGTGAGTAGTCAACCTCCTAAAGATTTCTCGCCAATTAGCATATCACCTACAGCGTAGCGCGAGTGAGTGAGTGTTACATAGTGATGTCACTATGAAACGGAAGTAAACAAAGGAGTCCAATGGAGGCGTTTCAGGCAGAGCGGGTTGTGTGGCAGGAAAACTTCCTCAAAAGTGATAAAAAAACAGCTCTGCTTCTCCTGGTGAGAAATATAAAATAATCTTTGTTTTGTTGCTCTAGTTTTTAAATGATCACTAACCCAGTCCGTCTATAAACATCTTATTATAGAACATTTCACCCTGCAAAAATAACACTAACCCTTTGCACAATGCAACACTTGACAACATAGCTTTTTCAAAAAGGAACAATATGCTGTGAGGGGAAACAGCTGGTTTTGATTAGCTAACTCTCATGTTTGTTTGATGCGATCGATTTGCCTTGAGCCGTTTCTTTTTACATCAGACTTTTCACCTCTCCTGGCAACATGCAACATGTAATGTCAAAACAGAACCATTTCAAAATCAATAGGAAGTCTTCAAAAGTTCATGTACAGCTGAAAGACAACAATAGATGACATTACAGTTATGGTGTATCGTGGCAATGCAACTCAATGTGAATAGGAAAGAATGAGAATGTTGGGCGTTTGAGAAATAGAAAATAATTGTACAGAATGAAAAGTAAATTCTCTCTGGGAAAGCAGCAAAGAAGAGGAAGCTGAGTATAGCATTGCTTTGACTTGGCACAGTTTCTGGTTTGCATTAAATATAAAGGTCACTGTCCATTAAAAGGAGGCTCAGCCACTGAAATACTTTGAATGAAGTGCTGTTTTGAAACTACAACCACAGAGAGCATCTAGAATGAGAAAATAATTATTTTTGATCCCTCATGATTTGCTATTGATTTCTTATGATGAGTGAAAGCAGCGGCTGCTGACTCATGCCAAAGCCACTTTTCCTCCCCCTGGGCTTAGCATGTAATAAATAAAAGTAATAAACAAATGCCATGAATGAGAGATGAAAAACATTTAGATCAGGTTTTTCTTTTTTTCTTTAAGGGAATAGTCTGTGGAAAATACTCAAGCTACGGTAAGCAACTGACTTTAAAGGCTAAATCGCAGACATTGTGTTTCATTGAGGCATCTGATTGAGTGTGATTCCAGCTCTTTATAGATTTCATCAGGACAATGTTATAACTTTTTTTTGAGTGAGCCAGCCAGAAGCTATTTATGAGCACATGAAGGGATAACAATGCGCTAATGTCTGTATTGTGCCTGATAGTGTGTGTTTTATACACCAAACAGATGGCTTCAATGGGGGACAGCAACTGTTTATAGCTGATATGGCAGCTCTGCAATCTGTGTGGGGGAAATACATTATCGAAAGAAAACATTTGTCTTTGTTGGAATCTAAAACACACACACAAACACACAAATGGTGCATGGACTGCATTTATATAATGCTTTTCCATTCTTTGTGACCACTTGAAGTGCTTTAACATAAGTCAGCATTCACACATTCATACAGAGGTAGAGGCTGCCAGAGAAGGCGCCCCTGCTCAAAGAGGCCAACACTCACCCACCGTTACACACCTTTGGCCATCAGGAGCAATGTTGGGTTCAGTATCTTGCCCAAGGACACTTGGACATGTTGAATGCATTGGCTGGGGATCGAACCAACAACCTCCTGATTTGAGGTGGAACATCTACCCAGTGTTGTAAGAAGTACTCTGATCCTTAAGTAAAAGTAGAAATGCTATGTTCTTCAGATGCTCCATTATAAGAAAAAGTCCTGTGTTTAAAATGTTACCTGAGTAGAATTACAGAAGAATTATTAGCTAAATGAACTGAAAGGTCCCCTATCATACTCTTTATCAACAATAAATTAAAGGTCTCAGATATATAAAAAAACATGTCTCTCAAGTGTTTTGCTTGATCACAGTGGCCTAATCAGGTTTTGAAATAGATGGATCAGGACAAAAAGAGAGAGAATCTTTTTCCTGAAACCTTCCGAATCTCTGTACACAGGGGGACACTTATTTATGTATGAAATACATGAAAAAGTGGATTTTGCATAATAGGGGACCTTTAAAGTATTTTTTTTTTAAAGTACTCTATATGCAACCAATACATGTAAGAGAAGTTTAATGTTGTAGTCCATCAATGTGGAGCGAATACTTATTTTAAAAGGCCCTATTATGCTTTTTAGGGTTTTCCCTTTGCTGTAGAGGGCTATATTGCTGTTTGTGCATGTAAATGCTCTGCAAAGGCTAACATCCCTGCTAACTGTCCCTCCAGAGGGAGTTTCTCTTCTTCACACTCCCAATCAGAGCAGACTGGGCTCTGGTTTCAGAAAGAGGGTGAAAAGAGGTGCTGCAACACAGGCAGTATGACAAAAATAAAGAGCTTTCTGAACATTAAAGCATGGAGACATGTTGCAGTAGAGACACTAAATACTAATGTGAACCTTAATTAGCATAATAGGTCCTCTTTAACATTTGTGTTTTAAAAAAAGTAACTATACAACAATATAAGTGTTAAATAAATGTAGTGCACTGAAAAGTACCATATTTGCCTCTGAAATGTAGTATAAAAAAGCATAAAATGAATACCCAAGTACCTAGTATAGTATAGTACGTAAGTACAGTACAGTACTTGAAGGAGCCCAGTTACATTCTATCACTTCAACCACATCGGAGCCACAGCTGCCTCTAACATACACACTTGACATCAAATATAACCCTGTATGTTCAACGCACATTCTGCAGAGCTTTATATCTGCATGGGCATGAGTAGTATGCTATTCTTTTGCTGACTACTATTGTCTTATTATTTCTGGCTCTATTAGTAAACAATATGTCAATCCTCTTCTGCATGAGCTCAGATGGTCAACTGTGTCTCGCTGCCTCAGCTCATTAGAGGGGTCAAAGATTTGAGGTGCAACACATTTTAAAGAAAGGGTTCATAGACATACGTCTTTTTCTGCAATGCATGCAGTAATACAGAAGATACATGATATATTGAAGAAGGCAGCAAATCAAAAAGAAAACTAAAAAGAAAGTTGTAAGGTGCTGCTGGAGGATCAGTGGAACTTGAGCAGCTCCCTGTGGTTGATCTGATATTAACAGGTGAATTGTGGGTAGGAGAGCCTCTCTGTTGCTGCCCGCCTTTTTGCTCACTCCTTTCTTTGGTATATACTATAAGAGTTGAGATGATTCCAATTTCATGCACTGCTGATCAATGCCATGGACGAGATGAAGGGATGTGTTCTTTGTCAAGATTGTGATGCAGTGTACGCCTATGCCTGGGGTTAGTTGTTCCCATAGCTGGCCTACATGGTGTGGGGAGTGAGACTGATCAGCTTCGAACATGGCAAGGAACTGGGGTTGCATGAAAAGATCAAAGTGTAAATCAGTGGTTCACAACATTTTTCCTCAAGGGACTCCTTTTATATCATTAAGTCAACTGACTGGTGACATGGTTCATGTACTTTTTGTAATGTATTTATTGTATAACATAAACAAAACAGATTAATTCTACAATCAACCAAAACAGTGAAAGCAATAACTGCAGGAATGTGGTGTTTAACAAGCGACTAGAGTTATTTCAACGCAGAGTATTTCCTGTGAATATTTCATCAGGGATTAGTTTTCTTCACGGACCCCTGTGAAGCTTTGGTGACCCCCAGTGAGGGCTTGAGACTAAATGATGAAAACTAGTAGAGCAACTGATTAGCTTTCTTTCATTCAATATTAATATGAATATGAACCTGCAGTATTGAACACTTCCCATTATTAGCTGAAAACATTTCAAAGAAAGCTCAAACTAAAAAGCCATCAGCCATCTTTCTAGTTTGTGAACTCGGTATACATTCCCTGCAAAAATTGCATTGCCTTCCCAGGGTCAAAACAAAACATGTAAAGCTACTTTTAGCTTCTATTCAAGGTCCAACTTTCTGAATATCTGAAGTCTGCCCTAAGTTATCTTAAATCAAGTCATTCGCGCTTCAATCCTCTTCACTTTTGCTTTTCCAGAAGTGATCTAACTATATTTTATTATTATACAGGGTATATGCCGGAATCCTGAAGTCAAATGTAATATCTTTTAAGACCTTTTTTAAGACTCTTTCCATACATTTTAAGACCTCATCGCCACTTGGAGTTTTAACCGGTTACATTGGCGACACACTTTACCTCACATTTACTATATACAGTATTGATTGTCCTTCCTCCTTATCTTCCAACCATTTGGACGAAAACTTGCATTTCCCCATAACGATGTTGTTTCACAACCGGCGTAAACGGACCTTCGCGCTATCAAGCAATGAGCGTGCGATGTCCTGTTCAGATGACGTCAAATCCAACGGGATGCCATAAATAAACTACCGGTACACAGAATCACACTACACACCTACGCAATGATTACATTCAGGCAGACTGTAGAATACAACCTCTTTGGACAATTTATATACTTATTGAAAACAAGCTACAACATGCAATACCTTGGAAAATGCTGTTTATTACTTTTTAATACTTTTTAATAGCCTTAATTTTCTCTAAATTGATTTATCAACTTTTAATACTTTTTAAGACCCCGCGGACACCCTGTTATACTTCTGCACGTACACAGCATCCTCTGTATTTACATTGTTTAATTACCTTCTTTCACTTATCAATTATATATTTTTCGTTGTATTTGTTTTATTTATTTATTTGTATTGTGTGTAAATGCTTATGTTAAGCAATTGGTATTCCCTCTGTTTCTAAACATATAAAAAGATTCATTGATGATTTGTTTTCTATAGATACATGAAATCAACTCAAGTCAAGTTAGGCTTGAAAAAATAAAAAAACCTCTCATGTTTTTCACAATGATTTATAGTTGCCAGGCAATGTTCAAAGTATCTCTAACAAATGTCCACACTACCAGATAATATATATTTGTGTATGAATTAAAACTTTGGAGACTTTAAATAGACAAAAACGTTAACTTCTTCCCCAGCCATAGGAGTTTCTAATGTGAAGAACACGTCAGAGCCCTTGCACACTGCTTTAACTTTTCTTTTGATCAGTGTTCTGAAACAGTGAGCTGTACCGAAGCTGCCTGCATATTACTGTGTATGAATGTTTGATAATCTTCTGTGCTTTAAAACAACATAATTACCTTACGAAGAAACACAATGTCAACATCAAATGGCGTACCTTATTTCTGATTAAATTCACACAGCAGCTAACAATATAAAAAACGTCCTGATTGTCTGAACATATTAAGGTAGTTGAGCAGCTAATTGAAGCCAGTATTTAAAATAATATTTCCTTCTTATTACTTTGACTAAACGTAATGATTATTACACACACAGTAGAGTGGTGCAGTGATAACCATGGTTGTAGGCCAACCTGTAAGTTAGCATTGCGGGGGCTCCATAGACCAAAAGCAATGGGATTTGTGATATAGGCAGATTTATGATGCGTACATCTTTTGTTCAGCAGGATAACACCCATATATATACACTTATTTTATAATAGTTGAAGAGTAAATGCAATGCAAGTAAAACGCTTACGTAATGCTTTAAACCAACTTGCCTACATCATGGTCACATGACTTAACTAAATCTCTGCAAAGCTAAAGGTAGCTAATATTTCCTGTGATGACGTGTAGTATTCTTTCTTTAGTCACTTACAGTGACAGTAGCTACTGCCATTTTTAAAACACATAAACGCTACAGACATTCAACAGCAGGGCATACTGATGTATTTTACATCATAAAACAAAACGTGGAAATCTTGAAAGCTTGGGTTAACCACAGATCCTATTTCAGACGTTTAAAGAGAAACAAATTCAAAATCATTGACTTCGAGACGATGAACGCAAAATTGCGTACTCATTTCTGCACCCCTCTATAATCCCTTTTCAGTTCATTTGTAGGTTTTTACTTGTTATTCTATCTTTACGTTAGTCTTGAGAAGTGAAATGAAGTCTCTGCATACGTGTAGTTTCACAGAGTTAACTTGATACACTTAATTGATTACAAGTAATGGGGCCGATTTCTTGAAGCTGGATAAGCAGAAATGCAAGTGATGAAAGTACTGTAACAACATTTGTGCCAACATGCTTTATAACAGTGTGCGCACAACTCACAGTAGATTGGACAGTATGCGTGCACATCTGAGTGTGTAGGCTTCCTACTCCTTGGTGACCTCGTTTTCTTTGTGGCTCAGGCTGGCCCTGCCCCTTCCAGACAAAATCCATAATTTCTATTTGATGGTGCAGTCAGGCTGGGCCTTCTGGAGGACACTGCCTGAAATTGATGCGTCTCATTTCAGGTCTACTGAGGATGCCAATTACCCTTTTGGAGACTCTTTGAGGATGCTGGTGCAACACTCCCTTGTTTCTGTGCAGTCGTTCCACAACTATCTCAGTCTGAACAGTCCTTTTCGCTTCTAACGTATATTTCTGTGCCTGTTTTTTCCTCTGCATATACAGTACTTCATACCCTCTGCTGTCACACTCAGGGTCGGGCGTATTTGAGTGTTTATGTTTGTTTTTCCCCACAGGCTCAGGTTTTAAAGTCATAAAGGATAGTTTTAAGTTGAATTTGGTGTAATTATAGTGGACAACCTTAAATTGTAATGGTTTCACTGCCTGTGTACTTCATACTTTAAATTGGACCTGTATTTGGAGACTGATGAAAAAGGGATTCCTTTTCAGTTTATCTTATTTGCTGCCTCTAAACATTAAAACAAGTTTCCAGCTGATTAGGATACTACACTTTTTAGTCAGGCTTGCAGAATGTCACTACCTTCAATGATTGGTTCTTTTTTTGTTATCATTCCGGTTGAAAGAAAATTATTAAAATAGAGCAACCATTCTGTAGGAAACACCATCGAACGGTTGACTGTGTTACTGTTTAACCAAGATTGAATTGGCTGGCATTATTATTTTCCTTTTGATTTCTTAGGAGGCATGTCACTGTGCGATCCTCTAACAATCCATTATGTTACTGTAAAACAATAGAAATGTTGAAAATTGTGATGGTTAGATGCTTTATTCTGTCAAAATGTTATATTTGTATTTGGGTTTGATGTGTTGAAGGGACAACAACTTACTTATTGTGCAACCTTGTGTTGTGTTATGACATTGTGTACTGTGTGTTTATTTAAAGAGGGTATTTATCTCCATCATGGATGACAATGTTAGGGACTATTACCAGCTAAGACACATTTCATTTGATGTATCATATATATATATATATATATGTTATTTGTTATTTCTATGATTTAACTTGCACTACTTATTTTCAATTATTCTTTACCACTGAATTGTTTTACACATGTTTAATTAGCAAATTTGGAGGGACTCTTAGCTGCAACATTTCCATTACTAATAACTGCTGATTGCTGTGCATACGATAATAAAATAACTTGAAGGTAGATAACTTACAAGAGACAGTGTTGCAGACAAATCCTAGACATTACTTTTTCTCTGACCATAAAGTTATAGTCAAATAACATTTCCTTGGTAAAGGGCAGTTGTATTCTCAACTATTGGCAAATCAATTGAACTTCCTGTTGCATTCAGCAAGGTCAGCCAATAGGAGAGGGTACGCTTTTTTTCAACAGCAGATGTAGAAGGAGAGTTGTTGTTCCTCTATAACGGTGTTTAGATGACGAATATCAGTATAGCTGTTTATGGTCATGTATCTTCCTGATCAATACCCCATCAAGCTCCAATAATACAATCTTAGGGAAACAAACCTAAACGTAAAATAATATGTAAACAAGCAACTTACCAGGGAAACCAGTTTGATGGTTTCCCTCCAGGTTTTGTCCACAGCTGTGAAGCGGCGTCCCTCCTCAGGCATCTGAGTCATGATGTCAGGGGAGCTGAAGATGGGCTCCAGGTAGAGCCAGGTGGACTGCACCTTCAACCAGTCGTCCATGATCTCCTGGAGGAGCAGAAGTTTGGCCTCCCATTCCCTACAGGAGGAGAAAAGAGCTTGGAAGTGGGTATATACAACTTTAATAAAGGCACTTTCAATTCTGATGTATGTCATATTCTTACTTTGTTGTTAAGTATCTAAACTTTGCCACTTTTATGTTTGAATTTATTTGATATAGTTTTCAAGTTGATTTATGTTTGCGCCTATTTTACAAACCTAATTCCTCTCAATAACTCAATCAAGCTGTGTTTATGTATGCACCATTTTAAACCAAAGCAAATGTGTAAACTGATTCTGAATCTGCTTATAATTAATATAACTTAATATATTTTTTGTAGAGGAACAATAAGCCTAGAACAAACCAGTAAAAATGACTTAAAGGTAAAAGGGGTTTTGGTAATCCTGAATGTGTATTTATATTATCTGTAGTAAGTAGACTCTGTATAAAAGGCTGTTGCGATCAGTTCATTTGGCACCAGGATAGGATTATTGGTCCACACCAGAGTTTGATGCTAACACACAAGGCTAGATAATTACAATATAAAGCTCTCATGGGATTAAAAGAACAACTTTCAAATGCTGCTTTAGCATTCTGCCAAAGATGGCACAATATGGGGTTTAAAGGCTTCAGGGAAGCCTGTGTCAAACTGTGCCAGGCAGCAACACTGCAATCATATCAGAAACGACAGAGGCTGGGGAATGTTCATCATTTGCTGAACAGAGAGGCAAATAGAAAACTGAGTAGTAATTAATTAATTATACAATATGCTAATATGAAACGGTTGTTTTCCAAGTTTCACAAAGGTTAAATTAAGTACAAGTCCGCAACAGACAATTTGCTTTTTTAGTTTAAGATAGAGGTATCATTTTAAGGTGTATTTCACCAAAAGCAGCAATAGCACCCAACACAAGAGGAGATACTGTAATGAAAACATCATTAACCAGCCGGGCCATGTGTACTAACTTCATAACGTTAATGAATTGCTTCTTCAGGCAAAACAATTCCTACAAAACTCACCGTATCTCCACCTCGAAGGGCTTGATGAAGGGCGAGCCCCTCATGGTTTGTGTCTTCACGATGTGATCGTCCAACAGCATCTGCACCTCGTCCACGGATGACAGGATGGAGGTGCCCGTCTCTCTGTAGGCCAGTAGGATGAACTCCATTTCGCCCCACTCCATGGCCATTTTCTCCATGGCCTTCTCCAGAGAGTACTCCTTGCCTGCTGCCTCGCTGATGCCCTCAAAGCTGCCCAGGTGCTGTTCCAGGTGCATGGAGAGGAACTGATCCACGCAAGCCTCCTCGTCAGCTGGCTTCAGGGAGATTCCGGACACCTCTGCCATGGCATTCCAGTGGCGCTCACGCAGGCCTGGGTTACACAGCACCTATGACCAAGAAGGAGTACAAAATGTATACTATACTGTATGTATATACGCCTACTAGCCTAGCTCAGGCAGTAGGCACTTTTGGGGGGAACTGGAGGGCACCGGTTCAAGTCCCGATTGGACTAAGTAAAAAGTGTGAACTGGTAGCTGGAAAGGTGTCAGTTCACCTTCTTGGCACTGCCGAGAGGTCCTCAAGCAAGGCACCCAACTGCTCGGGACAGCTAACCATTACAGCCCCCCTTGCTCAGACACCGCTCCATTACATTTGTAAGTCCTGTTTGTGCATTATTGCAATAATGGCATTACTTTACAAGCTGACATTTTTATCCAAAGCTCCTCACCTACAATTCAATACCGTAAACAAATGAAGCATCGAAACACCCTTTTTTATGATACATTGGCAGTTCTAGACCAATTTTTTCTGGATGGGGGTTATTTCATGAAAGGGGCACAATAAGTGCTACAATGTTAGGTGAGTATAAAGTCAAAGTGCACAAAATAAACCATAAAAAACATGATTGGTATTCACGTCAGTCACCTAAATATGTGATGAGGCATTATTGTTTGTGCAACACTGTCACAAGTGGTATTATCAAACTCTTTTTTGGGATGGGGGTCACAGTGGGGTCTGTGCTTAGTGTTACAGATGCACTGGCCCCTGCTGCCCCTCCCCATCCATTTTATGAGAGCCCTGACCCTCTGAAATGTAGATGCTTGTTTTCCCCTGTGATGTCAAATCGGATAACAACAGTGTAAATTGAATTTAAAAGTAAGTCTTCTTCTTCTACTAATAACTGTATGCTTGTCGTAAACTAGTGTAGAGACATTTATTAGTTTCACCTCTATAGCTATAGACTTGTTCCGTTGGGGTCTTACCTGCACCAAAGGAATGTTTTCTTTGAAGTCCTCCACCTTGGTCTTCATACTGGTGGCTATGCTCAGGGCACTGGGAACATCACTGAAGCCTTTCTCCAGTTTGTACAGAGTGCGCCAGTAGTTACCAACATCCCCTTCTACCTGCAAGGGTGGAGTTTGCATTACAATGAGTCCAGCAAGACAAATTATGAATTAATAATTGTCAACCAAAATGGTATAATAAAACAGTGTTAAACCAAAAACAAAATGCCTACTTTATAACTACAAACACCTGCAGTGTATGGCAGCTCACTGGCCTCATTGCAACTGAGTCATAGTTCATCTTATTAGTATCAACTGCGGCGTGCACACTGCAATTGCACTATCCTCATATTTAATCCATTATAGACTTTTAGCAAATGTATTGAGGAGGATTTATTTATTATATTATTTTACTTTATAAAATCCTATGTATGTGTGTCTTTTCATATGGCCTTGTGTTTCTTTTATTTCTTAATGCTTGTTTATTTCTTAAATAATGATGTGTGAATTGCCTTGTTGTTGCAAGCTGCTAAACAAAAGAAAGCCTTGCTTTGCCAGGCGGCTGCTATAAAAGGAGAGCCAATAAGAGCTGTCTTGCTTTAACACATCAGGACAGACAGAAACAGAGGTGTCAATCAAACAGCAGGGAGCAGGATGCTGGTGCAGTTGAGTGTGTGTGCAAATATTATTCACAGGTACACATCTCTGTCTCAATGTTATATATGATAGCACATTTTACATTCATTCTATGTAGGCGTAGCAAGAAACAAAAAAAAATTGGTATGCTATATGACTGAAATTTGGGATTTTAGCTTTTGCAGAACATTAACATGGACAAAAACCTAAAACACACTACAAGAAAGAGAAAACCCCCAAAAGCATAAAAGGTGCTTTCACAATGGCATTTTAAGCATCACTGATGCTGTCCTGAATATAAAAGGTGTCCCTGCTCATTGTTAAATTGTTGAAGGTCAAATATACATCCTGAACTTTCTGGTACCTTGTCTGGGTTCACACCCGAGAGTGGTCCATGGAGCCACTGATCATACTGGTTTAGGAAATCAGTGCCTGTCTCATAGAGGCGCAGAAAGGGTGTGAGCTTGTCGTGGATCTTCTTACGCTGTGGGTACTGGGAAATAGTCCAGCCATAGGCGTCCTCCTCCATGTTGAATTCATTTATCTTTGGAGAGGAGCAGAAATAGAAGCATGGATAAAAACATAAATGGATAAATAGAGCTCTTTCAAGTCGTGACAAAGATATTTGGAAGATCCAATGCTGCCCTCTACAGGTTAAACAAGCAGAAACCATCATCGATCAATTAATCCTCTCTACAATTAATATATATCTTTTAATCAGAAACATGTCTAGTCAATAAAAAACCCCTTTTATAAGAATGGCTTTTATTTATTTGTATTTATGTTTCATTACTTTCTGCTTGTTTTACTCTGTGTTTTATAGTCTGGTTATTTGCTGGTTGTTGCATTATCTGTATGTATTAAATATTTGTATTTGTTATATGAAAGCATTTGGTAACTCTGTTTGAAACGTGCGACAGAAACAAAGTTATATTAACATTTTATTGTTATAATATAATTTGTGACGAGTTTATACTGGCATGGAGCAATGCTTCAAAAGTCGATTACCCCCCCCCCCGTTCACAATTCACGTGTCGGGGGGTCGCCAGTCTCTGGCACAGTTATTTCGGGGGTCGCGGGCTGAAAAGTTTGGGAACCTCTGTTCTAGTGTACCTTTTCCAGGGCTGACTCCAGTTTAGCATTGAGGGCCTGGGCTTTCTTCAAATACTTGTTGAGATCCGTCAGATCACTGAGGGTGGCGAACTCCTCCACCTGTACGCTGTAGCTCTCCAGTTCTTCCCGAAAGCACTGGCGGCACATCTGAATGCACATACAGAAAACGTCCGCTAGGAATTATTCCAAAATGCTAAAGAAATACAACAGATTAATATTTAGATAGATATAGTAGAGAATCAGACCTCAAGGCCACTCTGATATTGCGCTGTCTTTTCAGCGAGGATCTGCCGGTGTTCCCTAATGATGGATGGCATACGCTGAAGCCACTGGATGGTCTGTGTGTTGAGCTCCATGTCCGATGGTGAGAGGGTGATAAAGTCCATGAGGAAACACAGCTGTGTGTTGGAGTCGGTCAACCTTTGCTCTAACAGAGGCAGCTCTGCAGTCTGCACTTTATACATATAGGCCTGGGATGGGGGTACAGGAAAATAATAAAACACAGATCTAGTACGACAGAATCAGGTTTAAACATATAAGGAATTTGCGTTGGTGGATAATGGTGTAAAAATAAACACAATTAAAGGAATTAAGTTGTAAAAAGGAGAAAATATAGATATACATATTGTAAAAACTATTATATTATACCAAAAACAACTTTATTATAACAAAATAAAAAGCAGTTTACAAGAAATATTAATACACAAAAAACATGATAAACACTGAGCAGTTATAAAGGGGCCATTTTATGCTCATTTTCAAGTTCATACTTGTATTTTGTGCCTCTACTGTGACATGTCTCCATGCTTTAATGTTCAAAAGGCTCTTTATTTTTCTCATACTGCCTGTGCTGCAGCACCTCTTCTCACCCTCTGTCTGAAACCAGAGCCCAGTCTGCTCTGATTGGTTAGCTGGCCGGCTCTGTTGTAGTCAACAGCAT